CCCGTTGCGGAGCACAGGCTCCGGACGCGCAGGCTCAGCGGCCATGGCTGACGGGCCCAGCCGCTCCGTGGCATGTGGGATCTTCCCGGACCGGGGCGCGAAACCGTGTCCCCTGCATCGGCAGGCGGACTCTCAACCACTGCGCCACCAGGAAAGCCCAGCTAAGCAAACTTTGAAGGGAGTAACTAAAACAAGATTGGCAAATATTGACAGTTTTCCAAGTTGAGTAATGATTACATTGGGAGTCTGATTATTCTACCTACTTTAAGTGCCTGAAAATTTCCATAATAAAGTTTTCTTATTTTTCTTTTCATAAGTTTTTAAAATTTTTATTTATTTTATTTATTTATTTTTGGCTGTATTGGGTCTTTGTTGCTGTGCATGGGCTTTCTCTAGTTGTGGTGAGCAGGGGCTACTCTTTGTTGCGGTGCACGGGCTTCTCATTGCAGTGGCTTCTCTTGTTGCAGAGCATGGGCTCTAGGTGCACGGGCTTCAGTAGTTGTGGCACACGGGCTCAGTAGTTGTGGCTCGCGTGCTCTAGAGCGCAGGCTAAGTAGTTGTGGCCTATGGGCTTAGTTGCTCCACGGCATGTGGGATCTTTCTGGACCAGGGCTTGAACCCATGTCCCCTGCATTGGCAGGTGGATTCTTAACCACTGTGCCACCAGGGAAGCCCCATAATAAAGTTTTCTTAAAACCCTTATATTTTTACAGTCAGATGCCATTTTCTCCTATCAAATTATTAAATATATTTAAACATTTTACAGGGAGGGGTGAAATAAGGATCCTACTGCATTCCTGGGGAACTTCTGGAAAGCAGTTTGGCAGGATGCCCTAAGAGGCTTAAAATATTGCTAGCATTTGACCCAGTGATTCCCTTTGTAGAAATCATACTGAAAAAATCATTGTGAATATCAAAAACTCTTTACAAAGCTGTTCACTTCAGGTTATCTTAGACTTTGAATTTTGCAAGTAACCCAAATGTGCACCACTAGAAGAATGGTTAATTGAATCATGGTACACCACATCATGAAGTATTTTGCAACCATCGTAGGAAACTTTTACAGTTTTTAAATACAACTGGAAGATGCCTGTTACAACATTAATTGAAAACAGGACAAAACTATACTTGCATCTATGTAAACAATATACATCCATGGGGAAAATATGTGTAGACAAAAAAAAAAACTGGAAGCAAATACAACAAAATACCTCCATTGGTTCTGACTGGGTGATAGACCTACAGTGAATGAAGTCTTTTTCTGTGTTTATTTTCCAGATTTTTCTATCATAGACATAGTCTTGTCCTGTGCATCTTGTAATAGTTTTATAAAGGTATAACCAACAAACCATAAAATTCACCCACATTAAGAGTACAGTCTGATATATATGTGTAAATATATATAGCTGTACAACCACCATTACAACATTACAATCAAGTTTTAGAACCTGTGACTCTGTGAAGTATCTCACAAATATTTCTTGAGTAGACTTCATTTTTAGAGCAGTTTTAGATTTACAGAACAATTGAGAAGATAGTACAGAGAGTTCCTACATACCCTGTACATAGTTTCCCCTGTTATTAAAATCTTCTATTACTATGGTACATTTGTTAAAATTAATGACCGAATACTGATACATTATTATTAACTAAAGTCCATACTCATTCAGATTTCCCTAGTTTTTACTTAATGTCCTTTTTCTGTTCCAGGATTCCATCCAGGGTATTACATTACATTTACTTGACATATCTATAAATTAATTTTTAATTGGAAAAAAGTAAAATGAACCTAATTTTTCAAATCCTCCAAATATTTAACCATTTTTCTCTTGGTCTTCTTGTTTTTGTTGACTTGTTGCTTGTTGACAAAGACCATGTCTTATATTAATTATATTCCTTGTAGTTTCCAACATGGTACCCTGCAAATTTACTAAATAATATTCTGCTAATTTAGTCACTGTCCTTCAATAACTGGATGGAGCAGAAGAGAGGGAGAAAAGGAAGAGAAGAAAGGAAAAGAAAGACCTTACTTTACAAATAAGTTAAAACCTCAGAGCTCTGAGGGACCTTTGGTTTCTGCTGTGATTTTATGTAATGGAATTCTTTTGACCTTTGTGTTTCCCAGGCTGGAAATTGCAACCCTGAATCGGGCAGACTCAGATCTGGAAGCTTGTCGAACCCAAATCAGCAAAGACATCATTGCTCTTCTACTGAAAAATCTGACCAGCAGTGGCCATCTCTCCCCTCAGGTAGAGAGGAGGATGGGTGCTGTTTTCAAAAAGCAGTTTCTGTTGCTGGAGAAAGAAATTCAAGACGAGTATGATCGGAAGATGGTGGCCTTGACAGCTGAGTGTGACCTAGAAACAAGAAAGAAGACAGAAAGCCAGTACCAGAGGGAGATGGCAGCAATGGAGGAAGCAGAAGAGGTGCTGAAACGTGTTAGTGAGAGGGTAAGGCAACTTTGAAAGGAAGGCTTTCATTTGCCTCCCTCCTTCATCATTTATCCATCCATACATACATACATACATCTACCTGCCCATTCATCCATCCACCCACCCATCCATCCATTCTCCCCACCTACCACCTATCTGTCCATGTACTCATCCATCCATCCATTTATTCACTCACCACCCATCCATGCATCCATTCATCCAAACTCCAACCCATCCATCCATCCGCCTACCACCCTTCTATCCACCTGCCCATCTACACTTCCATCCATCCATCCAGAATTCATTTAGAAAGCATTTACTGATCACTACTGTCTAGGCAGTGAAGGTACAGAGAGCACTGAGACATGGTTCTTGCATTTGAGAAGTTCACAGTCTAATGAAGGATTCTCGCATATAACACATGTGAATTCATTCAGCCATGTTGTAATAGAGGTACGTTCACAGTGCTGGGGGTGTCATGGGACAGGTAGAATGGCTTCATTCACAGAAAAGCATGTCCACAAGAGCACAGCTCTTGGGGTTGTGATGTCAGTGCACACGTGTGTCCGTCTGGACTGCACCGCACTAAGTTCTCTCCAGCACAGGCTCTGGAGTCAGACAAACCTGGACTCATATTCTAGTACACTGCAGCTCAGCTCCGGAAGGCCTTAACTAGCCTCTGTAAGTCTGTGAGTCAAGGCCGAGGGCGCCCCCCTCTCAGAGCGGCTGGAAGAAGTAATGCAGGAAAGGAGCCCCGGGTGTGGGCTGCAGTAGGCTCTCGTGCACAGTGCCCAGTTCTGGGAGTTCTGACCTCTCGGCCTTCCCAGGGCTGCTCTCTGTTGATCGGAGATCAGCTCTCATTTTCCTAAGAGAGTGGCAGTTTCCGTCTTGAAAGGAATCACGCCAGAGTTTTTTCCCAGGCGCACCAAATCCAGTCTGATTTCTACCTTCCTCCATGGAAGAGATGGCTGGTTCCCTCTGGTGACTTGAGCCCACATAACCTGTTCTGAAAATTTATCATCCTAGGGAGGTCTAACATCTTAGGAACGAGCTTCTGAACTCCTAACCTCCATTCTGCAGACTGGCAGCCGTGCACAGAAATCCTCTGGGAGAGAGTAGAGAGCTCTCAGGGTGACAGCGCCTGGCTCTCAGATGGTCGGTCACCTGTGGTCAGACTACGGGCTGGGCACTAAAGCAGAGAGGTGCGATTCACGCTGTCTTACCCCCAGCCACTCCCCTGCAGCTGGGGTCCCCTCGCCTCAACACACATCTCATTTCAGGGTGTGGCTTATTTTCGGTTTGGCTCCTGTATGGATTTCCTGTAGCTGCTGTAACAAATGACCACAGACTTCGTGGCTTAAAACAACAGAAATTTATTCTCTCACAGTTCTGGAGGCCAGAAGTCCAAAATCAAGGTGTCAGCCAGGCATGGCCCTTCTGAAATCTCTTGGGGAGAATCCTTCCTTGCCTCTGCCAGCTTCTGGTGGCTCCAAGCATTCCTTAGCTTGTGGCTGCATCCCTCCAATCTTTTTTTTTTTTTTTCGGTACGCGGGCTTCTCACTGTTGGGGCCCCTCCCGTTGCGGAGCACAGGCTCCGGATGCGCAGGCTCAGCGGCCATGGCTCACGGGCCCAGCCGCTCTGCGGCATGTGGGATCTTCCCGGACCGGGGCACGAACCCGCGTCCCCTGCATCAGCAGGCAGACTCTCAACCACTGCGCCACCAGGGAAGCCCCATCCCTCCAATCTTGACCTTGGTCTTCACATGGCCCATGACCCTGTCACCTCCACTTCTGTCTCTTTTAAGGACACTCATCTTTTGATTTAGGACCTAGCTAAATGATCCTGTATTATTATCTGCAAAGACCCTTATTCCGAATAAGGTCATGTTCATAGGTTCTGGGATTACGATGTGGATGTATCTTTTTGGAGAGGGGCCAACGTTCAGCCCACCACTGTTCCCCTGGCTGGCCCCACTCTCTGATCTCCATCCATGACTGCACAGGTCGGCACTGTGTTTCCTTGAGTTCAGCACTTTAAAAGAATGTGTTAAACACACTGTTCACTGTTTCAGCCCCAAACAGTCTCATTCTCTCTCTCTCTCTTATTTCCTCAATTTGTTATATATTTTTTTCTGATAAAAATAATACGCATTCAATGAGGGAGGCTTGGAAAGTACTCAGAAGCAGAGGTCGGCAAAATGGGACCCATGAGTCCAATCCTGCCCGGCCTGTTTTTTCTGGCCCTTGAGTTGAGAATGGTTTTTACATTTTTAAAGGATTGTAAAAAGTAAAAACAAAAAAAGAATATGTGACAGAACCCTGATGTGTCCTGCAAAGCCTAAAATATTTATCTGGCCTTTACTGAAAGTCTGCCAACTCCAGCTCCAAAGCATAAAAGGAAAAACCCAGAAAAAAATTGAAACACATTCCACCAGTCGACAGTAGACAAACATTCGTTCAGCCTGTTTGTTGAGTTCCTGCTGTGTGTCTGAGCCTGGAGACACCACTATGCTAAGAGGACCCCACTCCTGTCCTCGGCTTTCAGCATAAACCTTTTGCTTTATTTTTACATATATTTTTTTTTTACAGAGCAAGGTTCATGCGGTTCATTGAACCTTCTATCATGGTTGTTTCCACTTACCATCACAGATGTCATTAAACGCTCTCACACTTAGCATTTACTGAAGGCCAGGAATTTTTCAGAGCACATCACCTGGACCTTCTCTTCAAATATTCACACCCACTCAGTGAAGTGGGAATTGATAGGCTCCCACGTTTACAGGTGAGGAAACAGATGGGAGAAGGTCACCTGCCTGAGGACACGTGGGTGGACCAAGACACACACCCAGGCAGCTCGCCCCGACCATCAAGCCTCACGGCCACCCTCACGCAACAGTGCATCGTAATCCTGGTGGGCTTCTGCCTTTGCAATGCTTTTGTTGCAAAGACTGCCCGCGGCAGCGCAGTTTTAAGCGTTTGCTCATTATTTACACTGGCTGTTGGGGGCATGGAGAAGGGGTGACACACAGTGTTCTCCTGCTCGCTCTGTGCAGGGCTCAGGGTGGGCGGCACCATCACTGTGGATCCCCCAGGCCACCCTGTCCAGAGACAAGTCTCCTTATTTGAGCAAATCCGCTTCCAAAAATAGCCTAAAGCTGCAAAAGTTAACAGAGCTATTTCCCTTCCAGTCTGTGCAAGTCATTCCATCTTAGAATGACTTCGTCATCTATTCATTTATTGTAGTCATCTTTAAATAAAATGCATGAAAATATTTTGGCCATATTATTCCTCCAAGAATTAGTTTTTTGTTTTGTTTTTTTAAAAAAAAGCTAAATGAGGAGTATCAGTTTTTTTGAGTAAAGTTTAGGAATTCCATTAATTAGTATAACAATGAAATCTGTTCACGTTTAAACATCTGTATGATCCCGTACAGTCTGTAAAGTGTTTCTGCATGGAGAAGCTCTTAAGGGTAGTGGCAAATATAGACTCTGAAGGCAGGTGGCTTAGGTTTAGATCTCACTTTGTTCCTCCAGAAGGTGCACTGTTCAGGCTCCTTGGGTCTCGGTTTCCCCATCCTTAAACTGGGGATGACAATGATGCCTGTCATATAGGACTGTCAATACTTGTTTAGTACTTAGACAGATGCTTGGCAATGTCAGCCCTGTTCTATCCAGTCTCATTATTTAGTGTAATCTTTAAAGAAGCCCATGACATAAAACAGTCAGGATGTGAAATCTTTCCAGTTCAAGTTGGAGAAACAGAAGCCCAGAGGGGAAGCGTCTTGCCCAGCTTCCTGCAAGCAGCCACTGGCCGTTCAGCGTGTGTACTTTGTAGGGGGACCTCTTCCAGATCCACGTGCTTCCCACCTACTTGGAGAAGAGGCGGCAGCAGCGCATCCTGCCCTGAGCTGCCAGAGGCTTCCTAACTCCTTTGAGTGTGTCTTAAAGGAAAAGATGCCTTAAGGGCAAGAACTCTTACACTGGAACCATCTCTGGGGGTTTTATTTCTATAAAACATTTTCACGATTTGCCCAGCTTGCTAAATTGAGTAGAGGGAGTGTCATTTAGTACAGTCATAATCTCCTGACGCGATTTCACATTTTTGATGGCCTAGAGTCAGCGCGAAGAGCAGTTGTCAGAACAGCCTGGCACAGGCCTGCGATTCTCGAGCCAGGATTGAAGTTCCCTATCCTGACCCAGGCCTCCCAATCTCTCCATGCAAGTTGCTTTTTTAGGCATTTTAAGCTGAAGGATAGACATGCCTCATTTCTCTGAGAAGTCTATTTTAGTGGAAAGTTCAATAGGTAGTTGGGGGTGAGTGACCATTATTTTAATGCACCTTTAAAAATGCACATTTGTTGCCAATATTTAAAATATAAAATTTTGGATAGAAAATCCAGACTTTCAGCTTCTCTTAAAAAAATGGAAAGATATGGCCACACCAGGTGCATAGTCCTACAGAGCCCCCTTTGGTGGGCTGAGCAGTGGCTGACCCCGTAAGCAGGGCTCGCTCTCTCTACTTTACCCCAGTCCCCAATGCCCCCAGTACAGTACTTCCCAGGCTACCTCACATGACCTCCCCTGCTTGGCAGGCCTCCGTGGTGTCCCCTGCTTTAGGGTTTAGTCTTCTCATCTGTGCCACAGAAGGATTGAACTAGAGCAGGGGATGAACACGTTTCTGTGGGTCTCTGGACCCCCTTAGGAGGGCAGTATACAGGGAAATGGGGGGGACTCCCATCAAAAGTTATTTTAAGGAGCATTTCACTATGACACAAACACATCATTTCCTCATGCCTTATTCTTCAGAAATACTATTCTAAGCAAGGACAGATAATTACGTTTTAGAATTTGCACACGCACACTCAAGCACGTGTGTATGCGTGTGTGTGTGTGTGTGTGTGTGTGTGCGTGCACGTGTGCTGTGTGCTTGCTTTTTGTCCTGGCTGTGAGGAGTTAAATGGATTTCACCCCTGTTTCATTCCTATTAATTAAAATAAATTGAGGTTTGGAGCTTGTCGAATTCCATACTGTCAAAATAGAAGGTCACTTTCATGGATGAATGGACCTACCTGGGCACCAGCTACTCCCCTGGTAGCAGAGCATCCCTGTGATGCCCAGAGCCAGGGGCCCAACACCCTCATTGTGGGTGACTTGCATTCTGTAATTTAGATCAAGTCAGCTGTGAATAACTACTTCTCTCCAGAAGAGAAGACCCCTTCAGCTTTGCCACATAATAATCTGACCATTGGAGTGACAGTCCCATCATATTCAAAGTTTATGTCCACACTCAGAGGGAGGGGATTTCTGTGACGTCTTACACCGGGGGCCAGGAATCTTGGGGGCTTCTTAGAATTCCGCCTCTGCACGTGGAATGACTAAGACACCCTCCTGCGGCGTGAGTCTTTTGAGGTAATGGGAGTGCAGAGGCATCAGGAACTTAGTGAAGGCGTGTCTCCCCCCTGCTGCCCTCCCTCTGGACCACATAAAGTGGAGGCACCCCAGGAGCCACTTCCTACCTCCCCTTTGCCTCCCTTTTAACGCAAATGTTATCAGCTTGGGCCTGATTGCTCGTATCTTTCTCTTCATCGAAGTTAAGGATGAAAGATGATGGAAATAAGCTTGAGAGCCTAACAGCACAGTCCATTGATGTTTCCATTTTGCGGGCTATTTTCAGGCAGTTTGATTTGAAAATTTCCACTCTTGTGAATTTTTTTCTTTGAGATCGTTCTGGAAAACGTTAAGATAACAGGGAGGACAGGTTACAACAGCATTTCCCAGAGTTTAGCAGCTTCCTCATGGCAAATTTGGGATTCAGTGTGTGTGTATGCCTGTGTGTATACATGTGTGTGTTCCACGTGGGTGTGCACATGCGTGCACTGTATTTGTGTTGCTGTGTGTGCCTGTATCTTTGTGCATGTATGCGCATTGTTTGTTGCTGTGTGCATTTATATGCACTGTGCATGTGTATGTGTGCACATGTGTGTTGGTGGTGCATGTCTGTGTGCTGAGCGTATGTGTATGTGCCTGTTCACGTGCATGCATGTGTGTGCACCTGAATGTGTGTGCGTGTATGTGCATTGCTGCTGTGTGCATCGATGTGCACTGTGTATGTTGATGGTGCATGTATGTGTCCTCTATGTACATGTGTGTGCATGTGTGTGCCTGTATGTGCATTATTGCTGGGTGCATTTATATGCACTGTGCACATGTGTTTTGGTGCATGCATGTGTGCTGTGCGCGCATGCATGTATGTACATGTGCGCGTGCATGCACGTGTGTGCTGGCATGTTGCACACATGTGCCTGTGCATGCCTGACCAGTGTGTCACCTCCCACGTGCCCCCCTCTTCTCCACAGTCTGCTATCGAATGCAGCAGCCTCCTGCGGACCCTCCATGGCCTAGAACAGGAGCACCTGAGGAGGTCCCTTGCTCTGCAGCAGGAGGAAGACTTTGCCAAGGCCCACAGGCAGCTGGCCATTTTCCAGAGGAATGAACTGCACAGTATCTTTTTTACCCAGATAAAAAGTGCTATTTTCAAAGGAGAACTGAAGCCAGAGGCAGCGAAAATGCTGCTGCAAGATTACTCTAAAATACAGGTAATGCCTCAAATGCGGCTCTCTCTGATGGAGGAGTCATTTTCCTGAACTGTTTCAGTAAATTTCTCCTCTTTCTGAGCTAAGTCCTGTCTCTTCTTTTGTGCTGGGTTCCAGTGAACTAACGCTATCTTCCTTCGACCTCTTGATGCGGCGGCTGAGTTTCCAGTAAGCAGGGCAAATGGGGGCTTGAAGCACAGGCCTTAGACTCAGGCTCACCTGGACTTGCATTCCAGTTCCACTACCCATCAGCTCTGTGAATTTAAGCAAATTGCCTAACTTCTCTGAGACTCAGTTGCCTCACCTGTAAAATGGGGGTAATAGAGTCCCCACACTAAAAGGGACATAATGGAAATTTCATGACCTAATTCATGGAAAGCCAGTGCTTGGCACAATATATGTTTAATATATATAGTGGTTAAAAATATAAATATATATGTGCATATATGTATGTGTGTGCATGTGTGTGTGGCGATGTATGCCTAGGGTTTATGATCTCTGTCTCGATATTCTTGGGTGAATTTGTGGGTGTTTTTGCATGTAAGCTTGAGTGTGAGTGTCATTAACCCAGACTGAATAAATTCCTAGATGACTGTGAAAGTAGTTTATGAGACTGTCACTATTTTTATGAGGCCTGCCTGAGGCATTTTACCTGTGCCTGTACACACAGTGCATCACTGGTGTGCAGTAATGCACCAGATTTCTGGTCCTGGCACAGGCTTCGTAAGTGAGAGCTGCAACAGATCAGGGCTGTCCCAGGAGGAGACCAGGCGGCCCTCGTGAGCCTTTTGGAAAGAGAGGACCACTGTCAGAAAGCACTCTTGGCATGAAGAGAGCCAGCCAGCCTCTCCGTTTTGCTCTTGGCTTTTCCCAGTAAAACTTCAGGAGAGTAAATAAAGTCCTGGGTAGGTATTCAGACCCCACAGCACCACTTAGGGATTAACAGATTTTGCTGTCGTTTTGCCCGCTCCTCGTGATAAGCTGTGGCTGACTCTCCATGTTGAAAAGAACACGCGTTATTGTTAATAATACTGGGGACAAAAAAGTAACAGCCCTGGTGACAGTCCCAAGGAACAGACAGATTAGTATTTGAGGATCCCGACTCTGAGCTTCCCGACGTCAAGGGCTCAGGTCAGCTGACTCACGTGATCCAGCTCCGCAGAGGATAGAAATGTCACCAGTGTTCCTGCTGTATTGATTCTGCTGCCAGGAGCTCTCAGAGAGAAGCTGGCATTTGGCCACATCCCACCGACCATTCTGCTTTTCACTGTCAGGAGAGTGCAAATCCTCAGGTGTTGGACCTGGAGAGATTATAGCTTTTGTGTGGAAAGAAAAACATCATACGTTTCTTATTGAACAAAATGTTGAACTTTCGGGTAACCCACTGCATGGACAGTATTTCCCCAGATGGAAAAAAGACAGCAGAGCCAGTCAGTGGGATAGTACACTGAGGCTGATGTTTTAATTACCGTGCGTTTAATTACTGCTGGTCTAATTATTATGCTACTGGTTGAAGCTGGATTTGGGAGACAGCCTATTATGAAGTTAAAACACAGGCCCTGGAATTAGATGGCTGAGTTCAAATCCCTGCTCAGTCATTTACCAGCTGTGTGATATGGACTCAGTTTCCTCATCTGTGAAATGGGAATAATAGTATCCTGTCCCTAAATTAAGTTACAAAAGACGAGGAATGCTCTGGGCCCAATGCCAGGCCCAGCAAAAACACCCAGTATATGCAAGGCTATTATTACTCTCTTGTGCTTGCTTGGGTTCTTATGCATTTTGTACGTTATAGGAACTTCGTGCTATTCTGTGACCAGGCTCATCTCGTGTCCTCCATGAGTGTGGGAGTCCTGGGGTCAGAGCCGGTGGCTAATTTATCCCAGAACTTCAGTACCTGTCCTGGTGCTGTGTTTGGGGAGCGCCACAGGTGTGACTGTGCGCGTGGGTGAAGGATGCCTGAGAGAAATTTATATTCCATTTCTAGGGAAGCAAAATTGTTTTGATAACTCTTTACCATCTGGGTCTCAAATGCACTTTTCAAAGCCCTCATTTCTTATTAGTATGTAATTTTCTTCTAAACCTTTGTTCGGGGCAGGGACATTTAAGGTGTTAATCCCAGGGCTTCTATTCCCGTGTATTTTCTTCAGAAAGGAAATGTAATATTTTAACTGACTAGAAAGAATTTTCTTTAAATTTAATTTAAGCATATTTTCTTGTTTTGTTTTTTTTTTTAACAGGAGAATGTAGAAGAGTTAATGGACTTTTTCCAGGCTAGTAAGAGATACCATCTCAGTAAAAGATTTGGCCACAGGGAGTATCTGGTCCAGAACATACAGTCATCAGAGACCCGGGTGCAGGGCCTGCTTAGCACTGCTTCTGCTCAACTGACCCTCCTTATCCAGAAACACGAGAGGTAAAACCCCCAAACCACCTAAAATGATGCAAACAAACAGCCTTGCCCCAACGTTCCTCATCAAAGACCATCTACTTCTGTTCATTCAGCGAATGCACTGGCTGCTCCTGACTTATTTCTTAAGAATTCTCTAGTTGGAAGAATCCTTTGCATTACAGAATTTTTAAAACATACCCAATAGTCGAGACAACCATACAGTGAGCTGACGTGTGCCCATCATCAACTTCAGGAGGTACCAGCTTGTGGGCAATCTTGATGTAGCTACACATCCCTGCCCTGAGTTATTTTAAAGCAAATCCCCAACATTTCATCAAGAAATCAATGGTGGAGTCTTTCATGAACTGTGTGATGGGATAGCCCACTTCTCCTTGACCTCTAGGACACAGTTGGCTCTGGCATTCACCTTTGTTTTTCTTTTTTTGGGGGGGGAGGGAGTTTGTTTTTATTTTTGTATTTTTTTTAATTGAAGTATCTTTGACTTAGTTTCAGGTGTACAGCACAGTGATTCAGTTATACATACATATATATATCTATTCTTTATCAGATTCTTTTCCCTTATAAGTTATTACAAAATATTCAGTATAGTTCCCTGTGCTATACAGTAGGTCCTTGTTGGTTATCTATTTTATATATAGTAGTGTGTATCTGCTAATCCCAAACTCCTAATTTATCCCTCCCTGCCTTTCCCCTTTGGCAACCATAAGTTTGTTTTCTACGTCTGTGAGTCTGTTTTGTAAATAAGTTCATTTGTGTCATATTTTAGCTTCCACATATAAGTGACATCATACGGTATTTGTCTTTCTTTGTCTGACTTACTTCACTTAGTATGATAATCTCTAGGTCCATCCATGTTGCTGCAAATGGCATTATTTCATTCTTTTTTATGGCTGAGTAATATCCCATTACATATATATATATATATATATATATGCCACATCTTCTTCATTCATTCATCTGTCAATGGACATTTAGGTTGCCTCCATGTCTTGGCCTTTGGAATTAAGTATAAATACACAGATGCTTATCTTGGACTCTGAGTAATTTTTCTCAGCAGCACTGGGGTACCATGCAGCCAGGTAAATGGTGCTGTTCACTGCAGCCTCTAGCCCTTCGACAGCGTTCCTTCTCAGCTAGTCTATGAGACGCATAATTGTCAACAATGAAATTTATTCTTTGTAGGTTACAAGCTTTAAAATGAGTAGGGCCATGATGATAAGGTTGGCTTTCTTAGGACAAGCCGTGCTTTTATGAATTGGTTCTACTACCTGAGTAATTGTACTAGGACTTGGCAGCTCTCTTGCCCTCTTTATTTATTTTTTATTTTTATTTTTTGCGGTACGCGGGCCTCTCACTGTTGTGGCCTCTCCCGTTGCGGAGCACAGGCTCCGGACGCGCAGGCTCAGCGTCCGTGGCTCACGGGCCCAGCCACTCTGCGGCATGTGGGACCCTCCCGGACCAGGGCACGAACCCGTGTCCCCTGCATCGGCAGGCGGACTCTCAACCACTGCGCCACCAGGGAAGCCCTCTCTTGTCCTCTTTAATGAGGATTCAGTAAGGTGCAAGTTACGTGAACACTTCCCACCCAAAGATGCTAATGAATTTGTCACTGCAGTTAACTTGACATTCCTGATTCATTTTCACTCGAGTGAAAGAAACAGCTCCTTGCCTTGAACGGAAGCACCCAACAGCTGGGTATACCGTGGGGAGCAGTTACCAGGGAAGTGTTCTGTACCTCTGATTTTTAAATCCTATTTTAATAGGTTGGCACAGACTTACATTTCTGAAATGCATATCTACCATTCGCTCAGTCACCTATTCATTCCTTCAGGAAACTTCCATGGTAAATCTACTGTATGCCAAGCAGGGGGCCCAGCCCAAGGATGCAGACAGACTGGGAATGGTAGTGGTGATCGTGGCAGCAACAGAAAAACAGAACCAGTAAGATATGTATGAGGAATTGTGTCGTGTGACTGTGGAGGCTGAGAAGACCCAAAATCTGCCCTCTGCAAGCTGGAGGCCCGGGAAAGCCAGTGGTGTAATTCAGTCCAGAGGCCTGAGAACCAGGGGAATCCCAGCCCTAGAGCAGGAGAAGATGAGATGAAATGTCCCAGCTCAACAGTGAGGCAGGAAAAAAAAAAGTGAATTCCTTACTCCTCCACCTTTTATTCTGTTCAGGCCCTCAGTGGACTGGGTGCCCACCCACATTGGGGAGGGTCATCTGCTTTACTGAGCCCACCCATTCACATGTTAGTCTCACCTGGAAACCCCTGCACAGACACACTCAGAAGTGATCTTTAATCTGGGCACCCTGGCCAGTCAAGTTGATAAACAGAATTAACCCTCACAGCGAGTTTTCCCTGCATTTTACCTCTTGGACTTTACTTGTGCCATTCCTGTCACTAGGACTTCCTAATCTACCATCTCCTCTTGGAAGATTCTATCTGTTCCACAGTGGTCCCCATGAATGTTGCAGTCTCCAAGAACTCTTGCCCAATTGTAATTTCACTCGGGATGTGAGCTTTCTCTGCACATCTCTGAAAAAGCTGACCTTACCCTTCCTGCATTTTCGTAACGTCTTAGCTGCCTGTTCTCCTGCTCCTTCTGAGGGTAGAGATTTCTCTGATTCAAACTGAACTAATATGGAGATAAACATTCAGCCACAGCACAGCCAAGCTGCAGGTGAGTTTGGAGAGTGTGTTAACTAACTCTGCATCTTTTTCATCTAGAGCAGGCTACTTGGATGAAGATCAGATGCGGGTGCTCTTGGAGCGGGCTCAGACAGAAGTCTTTTCTATAAAACAGAAGTTGGACAATGACTTAAAGCAGGAAAAGAAAAAACTCCACCAAAAATTAATAATTAAGAGAAGACGAGAGATGCTGCAAAAGGTATATAAGGAATTATGCTCTTGATTCTTTACATAATCATTGTGAACACCCACCAAGTGCCGGGTTCCATGCCAGGCACTGCCATCAGAGGGCTAGGATCCAAAGGGCAACTGGGCAGGCATCCTGATGTGCCATCTACAGTTGATTGGTAGTGACTTTTTGGAATGCTGTGTCAAGATTTCTACAGGTCCTAGCAAAGCTGAGGGTTGCAGTAAGTTAGTAATGTCTGCCAGGGCAAGAGAATAGGAGTGCTGGTTCCAGTGAATAATGACTGATGGGTGCTACAACATTTATGGAGTGTTTAATTGGCACTGTGCTAAGTGTATTATGTATTTTATTTAATCCTTACATTAACCCTATGAGGTAGATGCTACTGTTTTCTGGGGTTTTTTTGTTTTTTTTTGTGGTACACGGGCCTCTCACTGTTGTGGCCTCTCCCGTTGTGGAGCACAGGCTCCGGACGCACAGGCTCAGCGGCCATGGCTCACGGGCCTAGCCGCTCCGCGGCATGTGGGATCTTCCCGGACCGGGGCAAGAACCCGTGTCCCCTGCATCGGCAGGCGGACTCTCAACCACTGCACCAGCAGGGAAGCCCTGTTTTCTCTTTTATTAATGAAGACTTTGAGGCTGAGAGGGCTTAAGTGTTGTGGTCTATTTGGGCTGCTATAACAAAGTACCAGACTGGGTGGCTTATAAAGAACCACAATTTATATCTCACAGTTCTGGAGGCTGGAAGTCCAAGATCAGGGTGCCAGCAAGGTCAGGTTCTGGTGAAGGCCCTCTTCTGGTTGCAGACAGCTGACTTCTTGCTGGTAGAAGAAGTCAGAAGGGTGGAAAGGTGGAGGGAGCTTGGTGGGTGAGTGTGGGGCCTCTTTTATAAGGGCACTAATCCCATTCAGGGGGCTCCACCCTCATGACCTAAGCACCTCCCCAAGGCCCCCTCTCCTAACACCACCATGTCCCATGTTAGGTTTCAACATAGGATGTTGGGGGAAGACAAGCATTCAGATCACAGTATTAAGTAATGAGGTCAAGGTCCCATGTTTAGTGAGTGGCAGATGTGGAATTGAGCCCCGGCCTGTCTGACTTAGAGCCTCAGCCTTGTCCTTGACACTGACCCACTCAGCTGTTTGTGAACCTCGAGAGGGGAGAGACCAACCAGCAACCACAGAAAGATACCATGTGCTCCCTACATGCTCTGGTAGCACAGAGGAAGTCACCGTCTCCTGGGGAACCCGAGTTCTGGGGGACAAATGAGCATCTGATGCGAGCAAGGCAGGAAGGACACTGCAGGGGATGGGGAGGCGTCTTGTTCAAAGGTGAAGCACTCAGGCGAGGGTGCCCCGCTGTGCTTGGAGCTCCGAGAACATGAGAGCTGGGAGGGCAGAGGGCGGGGGCTGGAGGAGGCACGCCCGGGAAGCAGCACCTCATCAATGAGGGCAGTGTGCCGGGCTGGCAGCTGACCTTCATTCAAGGACAGTGGGGAGCATTGAAGCGTTTTCAGGAGGAGAAGTGATGCCTAAAACTCGGCCTCTGTGCACCAGTGCTGAATCAAATCTTGAAGACAGAGTTTTGGGTGAAGTAGAAAAGAATAGCTTTATTGCTTTGTCAGGCAAAGAAGGACGCAGTGGGCTCGTGCCCTGAAAAACTGTGTGTCCCAACCCGGGAGGATTTGGTGATGAGTTTTGTAGCAGTGGTTCAAGGGTGGAGATGCTGCTAAGGATCAGGGTGTGTGCAGTGCCGCAGTTCCTTAATCTGGCCTCAGGTGGTCTCCTGATGAGCAGGTCATTACCTTCTCTGGAATGAAGAATGCTAATATCTTCCATTTGTTGGGGGTTTTAGTTCTGTAAAAGAGCTCAAAGATACTGTGATGTGTATCCCTTGAGGCGGAACCAGGACCCTGCCCCAAGGCTGCACTATTGTTTCTTGGCTGCCCCTCCCTTGCCTCTGCCTCCCCTCCCTTCCCTGATTAGCAGCTGTTCAAAAGGCTCCCATGCCCAGGAGCCCCACAGGTCCTGCTCAGTTTCAGAAGGAAGATCAGATTTGGGATTTAGGAAGCTCATGTGAGCAGCCTGCGGATAGAGTTGGAGGAGCCCCAGGCTGTAGACCTTGAGCAGGTCTACAATGGGACCAATGGGAGGCTGTAGACCTTGACCAGGTCAAAACGGATGAGAGCATGTCCTGAGCATGGGAACAAGGACAGATTCAGAGGAGATACTAGATACATGGGATAACACAGGGGGTGGTCTGGTGCCATTCGGGAGGGAAAGGGAAACAATAACTTAATTTGGTTGATTAAAAACTCTGCTTTTATTATCAAGTGTTGGGCCCGGCATTCTCACCTGGACCATTGAACTCCACCCCATCTTTAGCATCACCTCATCCATCTCCACTGGCTCAAGGATCAAAGCAATGAGGCCCAAGAACACACTTCTCTGATGGTCTGGCCGGGTTCCAGGCTAGGGTCTGGAACATTTCAGCAGTTTCCCATGAGTCCTGTTCCTTACGGCTGCTTTTGATAAATCTTGTGAGTGGTACAGAGTGAGGACATAGCTCCACAAAGGCAAAGGTTTGTGTCATATCCTCAGCTCGGAGGACACATTGTAGGTGCTCAGCCAGTATTGTAGAAGGAAGGAATTGGCACCCTCTGGTCACCCGGACCCATGAACAAGACATATTTGCACAAAATAGAACCCAGACTGTCCACAGGTGCACTGTTGTTAGTAACACCGTGATGTACATCTCTATGCATGTCAGCTTCCCAGCACAGGGCCTTTATGCCTACTGCTCTTTCTCCCAGGAATATCCTTTCCCCCATCTTAACCCAACTGAGATATGACCTTCTTTTTTTTTTTTTTTTTTTAAAGAAGAAGATGTTGGGGGTAGGAGTTTATTAATCAATTTATTTATTTTTGCTGTGTTGGGTCTTCGTTTCTGTGTGAGGGCTTTCTCTAGTTGTGGCAAGCGGGGGCCACTCTTCATCACGGTGCGCGGGCCTCTCACTATTGCGGCCTCTCCTTCTTTATTTTTTTAACTTTTAAAAATTAGTAGTAGCATATTATTACTATAATTACTCTTGGTGGTGATTAGCCTTTGTTGTTGTTTTCCATTATGTTTTACTACAGGATATTGAATATAGTTCCCCGTGCTATACAATAGGACCTTGTTGTTTATCCATTTGGGTCTCCTTCTTTAAAAGGCCTTCTGTGACCTCCTCATTTAAATTGTCTCTCATGGATCTCAGGGGGGTTTTCTCTTAGGATATCTCAATTTTCAGTTCCTATGTGCCTGGGACTTGGTAATAATAATAGCAGACATTCATTGATGCCAATTCTGCACCAGGCCCTCCTCTAAGAGCTACACATGTCTTCAGCAACTCATTGCATCCTCACACCTACTCTGTGAAGTAGATCCTATTATTATCCCCATTTTACAGATTAGGCAGTAGAGGCCCAGACAGGGCCAGACACTCGTTTTGGGTGGCTCAGCTTGTAAGTGGAGAAGCCAGGTTAGGAGCCCAGGTGGTCTGCCTCTTGGGTTTTACCTACTCAATAGATACGTGTTCAATAAATGTTGAACAAATGAAGTTTTCACTACATTTTGGGTTATTTTCTAAAGAATAATTTTGTTTTGGGGGGAGGGGGGAACAACGATCAACTTTATTGATCCATTTAAAAACGATGCAACCTCAAACAAAGGAGGTACTGCTAAAAGCTCAGTTGGGTGAGGCAGATTAAGCCTTTTGCTTAAATCCTTACCATAAATCTTTGAAGTATGAAATTTGCCACCCCTTGCCTCTGGAATACTGTGATTAACATAGACAGAGGCAGATTTTGTCTAGTCCAGAAGAAGAGAGCAAGAGAGAGAGAATAAAAAAATTAAAAAAAAAAAAAGATAGAATAGAGAGAATATTATATCTGAGTGAAGGAAGAGAAAGAAAGATGTCCTGGATCCTTCTTTGAAACAAATGAGTAAAAAGGTGGTCACATTTTACTAAAGATCAACCAGGTTACGCATTCTTCTCCTTTGGGGAGGATGTGTTAAGAAGATAAACACCTTAATAGAAATTTCCTCTCTTGTTGTCTAAGGCTTGACTATGGGGAGAAATCAAGAGTCCTTCCAGTTCTGAACACGCTCTTGCAGTATTTCTGTCCTATTAGCCTACTTGCATAAAAATCTTAGTTGGTTTTAGAAGAACAAAGCATTTATTCAAAGTTTCCATTTCGTGGTTCAATTCTCCTCTGCTGCTACTTTGGCAATCTCCATTGGTCTTTAAATTATGTTACTTTTTTTGTTTTCAAGAATAATTTGCTGAATGTGAGGTGATTGGGGAAAGAGATGTTGACATTCGGTGCTTCCTGCAACCAGAGTGTTTTCCCCAAGAGCCGTACAACCGAGTCCCGCCCCCTGTTAATTGTCTGTTCTGGAACTCCTGCCAGCACAAGGAGCAGCGGAGGGAGCGGCTGTCCATCGCTGAAGCCTTCGGGGCGGCTGAGGATGCTCGCCAGTACATGGGCCAGTGGCGTAGCCTGGTGGCCGAGCACAGCGCCACCTTGGAGGAGCTGCAGGAGCGCCTGGACCAGGCTGCCTTGGACGAGCTCAGGGCCCTGACCCTCTCACTGTCCGAGAAAGCCACAGAGCAGCTGCGGCGGCTGCAGAACTCGGTGATGACCCAGGAGCTGCTCAAGCGCGGGGTCCCCTGGCTCTTCCTGCAGCAGATCCTGGAGGAGCACAGCAGGGACCTGGCCGCCCGGGCCGAGCGGCTCGAGGGTGAGGAGAGGGACAGAGGCCAGGAGGGCATTCAGAGCGTGAGGCAGAGACTGAAGGACGATGCTCTGGAGGCCTCCACGGAGGAGCAGGCGGAGCTGAGACACTGGGAGCACTTGATCTTCACGTGAGTTTTAATCCCTGTGTGTTTTCATCGCCTCCTCTCCTCCCACTCGTGGGGGAGGGATTCCACCGCCTGGTTACGGGGATGGCCAGACACGTGCCATCTGACGCTGGACAGCAGTGTATTAGTTACTTATACCCACAGCACAGACGGGCAGTGCATGTCCCCCCAGGACCACTCAAGGGTTGCAGAGCAAACAACCAGGGCTCATGGGAGGCAGGCTTTGTATTTGGGTTGGCCAAAAAGTTCGGGTTTTTCATGTGAGCGGGGAAACAAACAAATTTTTTGGCCAACGCAAGAGCAACAAGAGGATGAGGTGCCCCCTGGTTCCCGTGGGAGGATGTGATGGGCTTGTTTGGACAATTACAGGCTGGCAGGGAACTGAAACCCACTGCTCATGAGTAAGCAGGAATTGCACCTGGCCCCCTTGAGGAGAAGTGTTGTGTGAAGAGGGGAGCTTGTCCACAGGAGCAGGATGGGGAGGGGAACTTATAGTTAAGCCACAGGAGGCCCCCCCTGTGTCAGCAGATGTCAGGGAGCACATGGTAGTGGGCCTTCATTCCAGGCCTTACGGCCCACTGCACCATCTCTTTATGGGGCCCCTTCATTCATTGAATTCAAGAACCATGGAATGACATCCACTTCTGACTAGGATGCTGTAAGCCATTGCCCGCCAGCAATCCTGGTGTAATAATTATAAAATAATGGATAATTTGCACCACTAATGTTTTTAAAGCCACTGGAGAGCTATGGAAGCAATGAGGACAAGTTAAAATCAAATTCCAGAGGGGCCACTGTTGACAGTCCTTCACTCCCCTGCAGCATTCGCCGGCTCTTTGTGCAGACTGAGATTTGGTGTGGCCCAAAAGGGGCCATCAGCTGTGTGATAGACACCAGCAAAGCTTTGGCAACTGTTTAGGGCTGGCACGTCAGATTGGAAACTGGAGGAGCCTCGAACACGGCCCACATGGGGCTACAGAGAGGAATGAAATGTGGGCAGTGTAGACCAAAAACCTGGGTTTAAATCCCAGCACTGCCACCAGCTGTCTGAGTGTAGGCAAGTTACTTAACTTCTCTGAGCCTCATCTTTCTTGTCTGTAGAATGGGATGACAATGATAAATCATTTACGGTGCTTTCAGTAGCACATGATACTATTGGGTTGTTAGAAGGTGAAGAAAGCATTTTATAAGAAGTCGGGGGGTAAATTTTCTAGTTTTGATTCCATGACCCAATGATACTATCAAGATCCAGCCCTCAACATCCTTCTGCTCCACTATACTCAGTGTGCTGCTTTGGTCTTTGGGCTCAGCCCCACATGGTTTCAGGATGGCTGCTGCAGCTCTAGGTGTCACATACATCATCTCTCTTTTTTTTTTTTTTTTGTGGTACACGGGCCTCTCATTGTTGGGGCCTCTCCCGTTGTGGAGCACAGGCTCCGGACGTGCAGGCTCAGTGGCCATGGCTCACGGGCCCAGCCGCTCCGCGGCATGCGGGATCTTCCCGGACCGGGTCACGAACCCGTGTCCCCTGCATCGGCAGGCGGACTCTCAACCACCGCGCCACCAGGGAAGCCCTGTCATCTCTTTTTAACATGTGAGGCACTGATTCTTCCGATTCCACTGGGCAGGACTACATCACCAGCCCATGCCTAAACCATTCACCGGCAAGGAGTGAAATGGCCATGACTGTCTTAGACCAGAGGGCAGCAGACTTTTTCTATAAATTGCCAGGTAGTAAATATTTGAGTCTCTGAGGGCTACGTGGTTTCTGTTGCAACTATTCAGCTCTGCCCTGGTAGCGTGAAAGCAGCTACAGACAATCCGTAAGTGAACGTAACTGTGTTCCAGTAGAACGTTATTGACAAAAACAGGCAGTGGGCTAGATTTGGTCTGCAGGCCATAGTTTGCCAATTCCTGCCTCAGATCACCTGGGATTCCCTCTCTGGGGCTGTGAGGGGTGTTCCTATCCCCAGCATTGTTGGATAGTAACCCATCTAAACAAAAGCTGAGCTGATAAGAGGCAAGGAAGGGCCATCAACCACATCTGGCAAAGCGCCAACTCCACATCATTGATGAGGGATTACATGAGCAAGTATATGTCAGTCTTTTTTTTTTTTTTTTTCTTTTTGGGGTACACGGGCCTCTCACTGCTGTGGCCTCTCCCGTTGCAGAGCACAGGCTCCGGACGCACAGGCTCAGCGGCCATGGCTTACGGGCCCAGCCGCTCCACGGCATGTGGGATCTTCCCGGACCGGGGCACGAACCCGCGTCCCCTGCATCGGCAGGCGGACTCTCAACCACTGCGCCACCAGGGAAGCCCTATGTCAGTCTTTTAACACAACCCTTGGTCTGCAATAAGTGGATGAAAAGAGGTAGCTGCTATCATCACCACCATCATTCCTGTGCTGGAAGAACTCAGATTATCAGGAGGAAGACAGACACATAAATAGATGATTGTGATACACAAAGCAGGCGTAATTAACCAGGTAACCATATGGAGGATTAGGATCCTTACCAAGCTCTGAAGGAGGTACATGTTGGGCGCCGGCCACTGACCTGGTACTGGGAGCCAGAGACAAGGCGACACTGCCTACTGTTGCCTTGCTGAGGCGGGGCAAGACTAGGTGGTGGAACAGCTGGGTGGGTCCTTGTCCGGGTGTGAAGAGGGGAGACCAGTCTCACCGCATGAAAGACAGAATCAAAACCCCCAGCAACAGCAGCGCAGCGAAGATAAACAGTAACCGCCATCTTCCCAGTCTGTTTATTTAGAGTAGTGTAGACTGTTTGCACATAAGGGCGTAACTGTGCCCGTTTGGCTATAACATAGCGCTCTTTTCCTTTTAACCAACGGACCCACCCATCAATATTCCTTAAAGGAACCAACCAACCCAGAAAACACTATTGAAGCAAATAAACAAAACCAAAGCCCTTTGACTATTCTTTCCTCGGTATGGCCACTCCACAGTTCAGTTTGGATCTTAGCCACAATTTCAGTTCTGAATTGAATTGAAGCCCTTTTGATTAGAAAAGGTTGCATCGACCTAGGATTGTGGAGGGGGTGTTGGGGGTGGGCGTTGGGGGAGGGTAGGGGAAGGCGTCCTTCTCAGTCTGTCTGCTCGGTCCCTCTGTCCCCCTCCTCTACTGATCCTGCATGCTGCTCGCTGGACGTCGGTGGTCCTCCCCATCTGCACCGAGGCCTGAGCTCTCCTTGAACCCTTTCAGGGATACCAAATAGCAGAGCATCGTTCTGCAGTGTCCATCCTTCCTTGGTGGCAGTGACATCCCATGGAACAAGGTCTTCCTGGCCTCAAGGATGCAGTGCCTCCTCCTTAAGTGCTCATTCCTAGGGACTGACCTTGCTGCCGGGGAGGAGAGGTCCCAGGTGTTTGCAGAGGGTGAGATTGTCTTGGTTTAGATGAAGTGACCTCTCCCCTCCTTCTCATCTCTCTTTCTTTATGGTTCTGTCCTTGTTTAGTTCGCAATCTTTGTTCGTTTTTGTTTTCTTGAACAAACAAGATGCTGTCTTCTCCAAGCCCATACAAATCAGATCCTTAAATGCCACTTCTTATTCCCACAAATTGTTCTCAGCAGTAATTATTCAGCTCAATCTACGTTCGACCAAAGTCTCTTTGCTCCATCCAGCCTGCTTTGGGCTCTTCAAAGTGTGTGGATTGGACTTGACATTCCCATTATTGGATGGTCATCTTCTTTGATTCATGTGGTTCCATTTTGCAGGGAGTATTATTAAAGCGGCCGCCGATTGAGTCGTTCAACAGGAAAAGAGAGATCTCACTTTGGTATCAGAAAACTCTTTATGATTTTCCTAAGGGTTAAAGGGGGTCAACTAACAATACACACAATCTGAGTCTGCTTATATACTTTGCTTATTTAAGACCCTAAAAGGTTGTAGCCTTTATTTCTGAGGCATTAAGTAGAAATGGCTTTGCACAATAGTTTTGAAACATATTTTTATAAGCTTCTCAATTTCAAGCAAGAGAGAGTTGCTGTAAACCTGGTCCTATAAAATAAGAATTAATAAGGATGCATATTTTGCCAGGGAAAGTGTCTTTCAGACCTTTTTGCTAAACTCCTGCCTGGATTTTAAATTCCTTCAGGGCAAAGACCCTATCTCCTATATTTCTGTATTATCTTGGTGCCTACCTAGTGGAGGATTAAAGCCAGACCACCCTGGGCCAATCTGGTTTGAAGATGGGCAAGAATAAAAACTCAGATTCATTTCAGAGTTGCTTTCACCTTGGAGTCCACGTAAGCAGCAAACACGTGGGGCAAAGATTCTCCATGAGGGAAGGTACAAAGGAACAGCTGCAGTTTCCAAAAGTGCTTCAGAAAAATTGGTGAGTCCCAGGGAACCCAAGACATGGGCTTGGGGCCTTTAGACCGCTTCTGTCTGGGGGCCCAAGTCAGCCCTTTCGGTCTTATTCTGCTTCCACGAGAGAACTTTCTAGGTGAGCTGAAGTCCCACAGGCCCACATGAAGATTTTTTGAGTGATCAATGAACAGACACACATTGCCCAAAGCAGGACAGAAGAGATGGCCTCCCTCCAGATGCTGTCTCCTGGGTCAGGGAGGACATTCTGTCCAGAAGTCCCAGCCGACCTCCTCTTCCATCTCGTTGGCCAGACTGGATCCCCAGAGGTGGGAAAGAGAGCCTGTGGCCGTTCTCCCCTGTAGAGTGGCTGTAGGCCTTGCCTGGGAGGAAGAGGGAGACATTCCTTAATTTCCTCATTTGTGGGCTTCCCTGGTGGCGCAGTGGTTGAGAGTCCGCCTGCCGATGCAGGGGACATGGGTTCGTGCCCCGGTCCAGGAAGATCCCACATGCCG